TCTTATGATTGGTTAACTGTAACAGTTAACGAGAAGCGAGCTGAGGCAAAATTTCTTATTCTTAGCGGTCTTTGTTTAGGGAGCGCGTTTTTCATGTCTCATCTTTTCTTTCATGAACTTTTGAGAGTGTGTGTTTTGATGTTTGTGTGCATGTGTGTATGTCCGTGTATGTGCACGCATGTGTATGTACGTGTGTCTGTATGTGTGTGTATATTTGTATGCATGTGTGTGTCTGTTTATGTGTTGTTTATGCTGCGCAGGTGTGCGTTAAACGTGTTGTGAAAAACTTTTTCCTTTCAGTGATTTTGTTAGTCAGGAAATAGTGCTGGCTTTTATTGGCTGCATTTTCTAACTAGCAAAAACACTGAGCAGGTAAATCTTCCTGCCTTTCTGTTCATTTCTTACGCGCCTTCAAGAGAATTTCATTGATTCATTTAGCAGCTAATTAGTAAAACTAGAAAATACCTGCTTGGATTTTTGGTGCAGCCAGAACTGTTTAAAGCTTCAGAAGTGTTTTGAAGGAAATAGCCGCAAAATATACCTTCTTTTTTTCAACAGTTTCTCCGAAGTTAAAATTTGACATTGATATAACAGTGAAAATGCTGAAACATTAACTTTTTGGAAAATGCAGTGATTTACTTTCCGTTGCTCGCAAAAAAGACTTGTGTCCCTTTTTGCCGCATTATTTTATTTGCTCAGGGACTTGGTACCGTGCGGTTTAATAGAAAAGTGCTTTGATGGTAAGAGGAAGTTTACTCGATTTTGTTTAAAAGAGGAAATGAGGATGGAACTGGCTGTGCTAAATCCGGCTTTTCTTTAATCTACTAATCTTTTTTCCTGATGAAACTGCTTTGTTATGAAAATATAACGTTCTCAGGCGGTGGCATTCGCATGGCCGATCTGAGACCCTTTTAAGTTTGTTCTGGTGTGATTGAATTGTGTTTTTGTTTCAGATCTTGCAGATTCCGGGCCTCTGGGATAGCGATCGGTCATCGTTTGCTCTCGGCTCGAATGCTGACAACGGCAGTACGGGTTGTGCATGCTGATTAGTATTTCGATTTTTGTGCCTAAAAAAAAATGCTCTTTACGTAAGCACTACTCTTGTCTGATATTTTTCTTTTTTGTTACATAACATGGGTAATCTCTTCCCACGAACAGCTGTGCAACATTTACAGCCATTTTTTTCTACCATTTTAAGTAAGTTTTTCAGGACCAGCACTCACATATTATAGTTCAGAATGACTGGAAGTCGGGCGCAAGAGTTGCACACTGCTCTGCGCTTCGTTCTTACCATGCCGCATTCAGCTTGCGTCCTTTTCTTCTAGCTGAATATGTGATTAGTTAAAGATTTACAATTAAATTGGATATCTTAAAAAGCTAGGTAATTTAGTTGAATGAAATTCAAATAATCTGGGATGTTTTTAAAATTGCCTGAAAAAATAGCAAGAATATTGACCTGCTGAAGCTGAACTTCTGAGAAATATTCAAGAAAAACAAAAAATAAACTTTTGGCTCATGGAGGTTACTGGTATGTCGTGTAAAAAAAACTTGATTTTTTTGTCTCCAAGCACTTAAAGATGCCATACCCACTACCGTGAAACACTTTAAGAAAGTGTTTTGATTCCGTCACAGTTTTTGCTTTTGTTTATTGCTTTATCGGTAGCGTTTGTGTTCATTCAGTGCTTGTCTAAAGTTGTACATATTTTTTGGTTTTTCAGAGTGCTTTCGTATTTTGTCCATTTTGCAAATTATTGTATAAAGGTGTCTAACACAAATAAATCCAGAGGAAAATTCACCTTCTCTGGTTCTTTTCCATTTCATTTAAACTCTTCGGAAAAAACTAGTTTTCGGTTAATTCTGTTTAATTTTAGTAACACACATATGTTAGTACACATTTCGCATACTCTTTTATCCTTGCTTGATTCTTGCTCTTTTGAACTGTATTCATCATCGTAACAAGGGCGACGTAAAACCTTTTGTAACTGGAACATGCTGGTTATTTTTGTATCCCATCCAGCACTTTTTTATGTATTAAACGTCCAGAATTTCTAAACTAATAGTTTACACTCTGCAGGTAGTTTGAATTTTAACCCATAAAACTGCGGATCAGCGGGAATGAGGTCTAGTTGTGATGCTCAACAAGCATGTGTACGACTTCAAAGATCGAAACATTTCTGTTTAGCTGTTTAATTACAGTTGATGCTATTTTCCTAAATTTTAGCAAAGTATACGTTTAAACCATCCCAGGAAGGGCTAGTTAGTGAAATGCATAGCGTAGATTGTGTGAAATTTGGATATTACACCGAGCTACTGCGCAAGTGTTTTTACCTGCTCGCAGGGAACTCCCGAGAGATTTCAAGTAGACTGGTGAAAACGGGGCGGCTCTAATTTCCCTCAAGATATCCTGGCCAAGTATTACCTTCACGCACTCCGCGAATTGCGTATGGACACGTGAAATATTGACGGAAAAGTAGCTAAGTCGTGAATCAGAACAGTTAGGAAGCTGAACTTTAAAGGGGTGTTCCACGTACAATTTAAAAATTTCAAATTCAGTTCACAAGGCAGAAGCGCGTGAAAGTTTTGGCGAAAAAATTAGTTACTTGGGAGCCAGATAAACGAGGAGGCTGGGATTTGGGGAAGATGTTTTATTGTCCACATGCGATCTAAAGATCGCAAATTTTATTCCTATGTACGGCTGGTTTTCGTGTAAGGGCACGTGAAAGTTTTGGTAGAAAATTGCTAATCAGGGACCCGAACGGCTACATTACTTTCAAGGAACCACCGGTCACCGGGAATTATTCATTTCTATTCATTCAAAAATTAAGATAGTGGATACACAAGTTAAACCCAGGTTAGAACGCATCAGCTTTGCTGGTTCGGTCATGCGTTTTTGCACTGCAGTTGAAGTAGTCAGGTCGTTAACTGTGTGAATGGTTCCTGCTTTGAATTTAGCCTGTATACTCAGCGTAAATTATCCTAAATCCTGCAACCCATGCTGGAGTGCACCAGGCTTGCCAGTGCGATCATGCGTTTTTGCACTAAACAGGATGGAATAGAAAGATTAAAGTTTAATATTCCATGTGGAATAAGCTAATGCACGTGGTGAGGATTGGGAAATAGTGTTTTGGGACATATCTGACAAACAATGTGATATATTCATATTCTCGTGTGCTGAGGATTTGTAGGAATATGTGTCTGTGTTTCATCCCTTAGCTATAAACAGATAGCTGAAGGTGTGGTTAGGGATGGGAACCATCAGTACAGCCCCCTAATCACCATGTAAAATAGCAAATGTGTCCATGTGAAAAGACAGAAGGAAGTGGGGAGAAAGAAGGGGAAGGGCGTTATAATAATGAAACAAAACGTCAAACTAACGTGAAGGACATGGTTGTTGGATTTGGTTCGTTTAGCTGCCGGTTCAATTAGTGTTGACATTCTGAAGATCCTAAAACCCAGAAATCAAAGTGTAGGAATCCAAGTGGAGCCACTACAACGTTGAGCCATCGTTGGTAAGTAAAATGGCGCAGGCGTGCATAACACTGTGGTCATCGCAATACAAATATTAAGAATAATTCTGTATCTATCACTAAATCCATAAAAAGCGTCCCTCAATTTAATGACATTCAAGACCTTACGTAAATAGTGTCTAAGTAGTAATTGAGACCACCAAATGAGCCGATCCAAGGAAGTACAAATACGAGCGTAGCAACTGGGACATAACAGTACTCAAGTGCACTGTCAGATGAACGTTATTGTCGGGCCTACTATAATGTTGAACAGTGAAAGGGTGGGCAAGTGATTTGTTGTAAACATCGAAAATACATTTATTATTATGACAAGAAATGTCAAGGTCAAGGAAAAACAAACGTGTTGAACTCAGTATATTGTTTTAAGGTCGAGAGTCTGACCATAAATATCCCGTACAATGCTAGGAAAATTGGGTTGTTAATAAAAAGTATGTTGTCAATATAACGGAATAGTTTCAACCGAACTCTTTTATACTTATACATCTAGCGGTAT